GGGTTAGGGGGGGGGGGGATATAATGGAATTAACTAGAACTTTATGGATGTTTACTACAATTTTTGTTACAAAAGAGCAAAGGTTCTTTTGACATTCATTTTTTTCTTATTTGAAGTGGGCTCAAAATTGTGCACTGTTAGAAATAATCTGATTGAGGGTGACATTTAGATGCTAGGGGTCTGTTACCTGGAAATGATCACATGTGTTTTAAATCAAGTTTCAATTTTTGAAGACCTTAATTTTTAAAATTTATTTTCATTTCTCAGGACTTAAACCATATTGATCTTTGAAGAAGCTCTTCAAAGCCATTGGTACAGGTTAGCCTGTCTCACATGTTGGGGTACTTTCCATTTTTATTTCAAGTCGGTGATAATCCATATCTCCATGCAGTGATAATTTATACAGCTATGTCAATTTAATGTAATGTTGCGGTTATTCATCAATAAAGGTATATATATTTTATTACAATTTGATGCAAGTTTCTCTTTATTTCATACACTTACTAATGTCTTGATAAAAGATGTGCCATACATGCTGAAGAATACTCATGATTGGCTGCCCTCAAGACCAGAGCTTCTTAGGGCTGTTGGTGACCTGTCCCAACTAAATGCATAGATCATAGAATGTTTTCACTATTTTATACATTTAGTTCACACATTGCTTTAGGCTAGGGACATAGGGATGGCACTTAGTACATTTCTGTCCACTTCATTTCCTTTCTATGGCTTATTTTATGTGTATTATTTATGTGTTGTGATTTTGTTAACTTTGAGCAGTAATATCAAGGAGCTCCCCATTAGTCACTACCTCCAGTCTAGCCACTGTTTTTAGGCAGATATCAAGTTTACCATTAATTATTATCTTAACTGACCATACGATCACCACCCTACTAGGTCATTCAGTAACTTTTATCCCATTCATCTACCTGCCTTATACCATACAGTTACAAGGCTACGCCAGCGAAAGGGCTGGAATTAAATTATTGTTCATGATATAAGGTTGTACACGTGTGACCTATAAAGAGGGACAGAGATGAGGATTAAAATGACTGGGTAAAGAGAGAGAGAGAAAAGTGTCACTCTGAAAAATGAAGAAATTAAATGTTTGGTTCATCCACTAGTGTGTAAATGAGGCGTGAATGTAAGAGAGCAAGAGTGAGGAGGCATGTTGGAGAAAGTTGATATCACACAGAAATAGAAAAACTGGAAAAGTTGTTCATTTTATATTCTTCTATTATGATTTAATGTTATCTGGAAAAAATAGTTGGTGACCTGCATTCTCTATTTTCATTAGAATATATGGAAAAAAATCTCTATGTTAAAAGTTACGTGATGCAGATGTGGAGGGAACCGTCCAGATTGATATGAATATGGCTCCACGTTGATCAATGATGCCATCTAGCTTGACCTTGACACAAGTTAACTATCAATGAACTGTCAAATTAATTTCAGCCAATGAATTAAACAGGGGAATACGTTAAGAATGGAAGTCGGGTTTGAACTGAACAAAATAAGTTAACAATTTCAAGTAGATTGATAATGAAGTTCCATCACAATGCCCTCAAAATACAAAGAAATGAATGGAAGAGAATTTAGCAGCTAACAGGGTTGGTGTTACCCCCAGTTTTTCTTTCAGGTACAGTATCTCTCCCAGAGAAAAAAATTTTTACACAGCAGAGTGAAACTAAATATATTTTATAAAAAGCGCCTAAATTGTCATTCTTATAACATTTTAAAAATAATAGTAGCCGGTGCCTTTAACCGATTCAAATATATTTGATGATCTGTATATTTAAGGTAAATCTTTTTAGAGGCCTACACTATTCTTTAGTGAAACCTGAAAAAAAGAAACGCAACAAAAAAAAACAAAAAACAATGAACGTGTCGGCAGGAAGCCTTCGCCAGCGAGCAAACAACAGAAACAATAAAATATTTTTTAAAAAACAGCACTGAGCTGAGAAGTAGTAACCACTGGTCCTAACTGTAGGGTTGTGGGATGGGCGTTGGGGAGATGATTTTGGGCTGGGCATTTCAGCCGCCATATGACTCTGATCAACGGACGGTACGCAGTGTTAAAACTTAAATTCTTCAGAAAAAATAACTGAGCTGGTCAGAGATGAATTAAAACAGCGGTTCTCAACCTGTGGGTCGCGACCTCTTTGGGGGTCGAATGACCCTTTTCAAGGGGTCGCCTAAGACCACCGTAAAACACATATACTCTACATTTATGACGTAGCAACGAACATAATTTTATGGTTGTGGGTCGCCACAACATTAGGAACTGTATTAAAGGGTTGCGGCATTGGGGAGGCTGAGAAACGCTGAATTAAACAAAGGTGAGCCTAAGACCTTGAAAAGGTTATTACTAATACTACGCCCTTTGCTCCATGATCGGCCAATGGTGAATGTTACGAGTACTTCTCATGTCATTTGTGATGGAGCTCTGCAACCTCACTCACCCCCACTTGTCCCCCCCCCCC